AAGAAAAATGAGCGGTGTAAGTTGTTGAACTTATCATATGGTTTTGTGTTAAATAAACCAGGTTGTATGCATGAATTCAAAGGTACACTGTACCATTAATTAATTAATAACTCATGATTTTCTTCTCATTTTGTTTCATGTTGTGGATGCACATTTGAGAAAACTTCAGTAACATACTGGTGTTGGGCCATGCTAGAAACAAATCATCCTCTTGAACCAATTCTCTGGTGTCAGGTTTATCAGGGTCGCACCGTTGACTTTTACTCCTGTTTGTAAATTTAATTGTCTTCAAGAGGCCAATTTTCATGTATCAGCATTTTTCATTCATTCATTTAAACTTGGTGTTGTCCACTTCAATTCATGTGAAGCTTGTATTGGCTCTGTTAAAATTTAAAGTAAGTGTATTTACAGCAAATTTGTTTCAATATGACTTTGGGGAAGTCTCAGAAACTATTTGATACCTCTCCGTTGTTCTTTAATGCTTAATTCTGAAGAGAATTTGTACTACAGTGTTCATGAGCTGACCAAGCATAGACTCTAAAGGATAAAGCTCAGAAAGGACTCCAACTTTCTATTGAAGACAAACTGGATAAAATCATCCTCGCCCTTAACTTGAAAAATAATTTCTATTGGATTTGGGTCACCATCACCATAAAATATGTAAATCGGTAAGTATATTTTCCCTTAAAGCTTCATTTGTCCATATTCCTAATTTTTTGTTGAACTTTAGGATGAACCTTGTGTCATTACAGCTGCCTGTAAACGTCGTTATGATGAAACTCATAATCCCAAGGCTGTCACTTCTGGTGTTAGTTGGTGGCTCCGCAGCAGGCCCCAAAAAAAGGACAATTAATCTTACCGTAAGGTAAGATTCATAAGTTCGTTGCATGTCGCTTTTGTTTTTTTTTCTTTTTGTATTTAAAACAAAAAAAATTGTTGCTTTTCTGTTGTAAACTAAATAATTTCACGTTTCTGTTTTCTTCAAAGTTGTGCCGTTCTGTTGGATGAAAGACAGTTGTCCTTTTTTTGTTTTTGTATTACCTTGCTTGTTCATCTTGCTTGTTTATCTTGCTTGTACTGCCGCTTAGTCTGGTATTGACTTGCTTTGCTTTATGATGTTGCTTTGTATCGTACACTTGCACTTTTTTGTTTGTTTGTTAAAACATAACAAAACATAAGAGTTTTGCTTTTCTATTAAAATTTTGTAATTGCTTGTACTGCTGCCTTGCTTTGATTTGGTATGCAGGTGCTTAGTATACTTTAATTTTTTGGTTCCTGTGGATTAATTATCATGTTATTTCGATTGAATTATATTTTGTTGGAGACTTAATTGTTTTCTTCTACAGGTTTTTCTTTAATAAATTAAACTGATGACAATTATGTATATCTAGTTTCCTTTTCTGACACTTTTCCTATACACTGCACCATTATTTGAATACAATCCAATATTAAATTTAAAAATACCGCCTGCATTTGAGCGTCGTGGGACCGCCCGTAAAGCGTCACAATTGCGCTTATCGAGGCGCCAGATATGCGCTCTTAAACCACCTTTTACGCGCTTTTCATGGGCGCTACGAAATGCGCTTTGAATGCGACGTTTCATCGCGCCAAAATGGCGCTATGGTTGGGCAGGCGCAGGAGCGCGTTCAACGCGCTTTGAGGGCGCTGACGTTCCACCTGGGTATGGGTGCGCGAGGGAGAAGTGATGTCGATTGGTCGACGAACAGAGAGGCCCATAGGGCGCGCGGGAGGAAAGGAGATGGTGGGTGTCGCGGCCGCGCCCGCGACGGATCCGAGGCAGGGGCGATGCGGGCAAGCCCGCGCCCCGCAGTCGCCTAAGACTGGCGAGGATCCGGGGGCTTCTTCTTACGGCCCCGCCGAGAGGGCGGAGGCGAGGAGGCAGCCTGGGAGAGGCCACCTAGGGCAGCGAGCAGGGAGAGAAGCGGCCCAAGAAGATGATGGGAGCCGCTGCCGGAGAAGCCGAGGCCGAGGCCGCGCTTCGGTGAAGTACCGCCCCGGGGCGGAGGTGGGGCCGTGGGCGAGGCCCGCGGAGTGGCCGCGCACCGCCGAGAGGAGGCCCGATGGTCCTGAGCGCCACAGTTGGCGCACAGGGGTGGGGAAGTCCGCTGGTCGCAGGCGTTGCTACGATGAGCCCCAGCGCACACCCTGCAGACGGCGGACGGCGCGGTACAGGTATCAGACCTGTGACCCCACCGTTGACATCGGAAGCACTGGGGCGTAACTGCAGGTCGCCGTCGGCGAGGAGGCTGACGGCGGGTGCTCGGCTGCTGGGCGCCGAGATGGCGGAGGGTGGCGTCCGGAGCAAGGACAGGGGCTGCGTCCGTCTGGGTGGCGTGTGACGCCTGGGTGCGGTAGCAGCGAGCGACCGGCGAGAAGGGGGGGCGCGGCGGCGTGCGGTCACCCGGGACCACGTCGTCGAGGTCCACCTGGACCGGGATGCGGTACTCGGGCTGGCTCCGTCCAGCTGGGACGATGCACAGGCCCTGGGCTGCCAAGTCAGCCGCCATCTGCGGCGACAGGAAGACTCGGCTGGAGTTGTCGTCGGGGAGCTGGACGATCTGGACGCCAGGCAGCGCGCCGAGTTGACTCCGTAGGAAATGTGCAGAAAAGTGCAGCACCAGGGACGGGGCGCGCACCTTGTACCACCGAAACACAGGGTCGGCGGGCACATGAGGGGGGGGGCAGCGGGTCATAGTTGCTGGAAAAGTCACTATGCCCGAGTCCGAGCGGCTGCATCACAGTGACAAAGGCCGCAATAAGAGCCGAGGTGACCCGGTCGCGCAGGGACAGGGAGCACACCGCGGTCAAACAGATCTGGGGGTATTCTGCATCGATGACGACGTCGCACCTGAGCGCGTCCTGACCGACATGTCCACTGCGAAGCAAGGCCCGGAGCTGGTCGGCGTACGTCGCAACGTCTTGAGCATCCAGTGGACAGCAGGGCCAGACCTGCAGAAACACTAGCTGACTGGCAGAGTCCTGGGGCTTGCGTTTCTTCGAGGCGGGCCGGTCGCCACGCCAGACCGGTGGCGGCGCCGGCGCGACGATGTTGACTCTGAATCGGACATCACAACACGAGGACAGCTGTGCTCCGCGCGCACGTCCGCACGGCTCGGCGGTCCGAGCCGGAGTCCAACTATTTCCACTCTCCGCCAGATTATTCCGCGAAGCCAACAATAGGACGGACTAAGCCAAGCAGCCAACCGGCCATAGCAGCCCCTATCCCCCCTCCCCCCCCC